AGTTATTCAAATTTTATACCTGGATTCAAAACCATATGTGTGCATCGGTGATCATTGAAAAAAAATTTTTTTGAGATTTGGTACACTTCTCTGGTGGCTTGTTTCAACTAATAACTAACAAAAATCAGAATATACGCTCGAACCATTACTAATCAAGAACTATACAGTAAGTCATATCTATCTCTTATATGTGCAGAGTCAGTTCATTTAGCAATGTTTAACTTACTTGACGATGGTCTTATGATAATTCTAAAGAGAGAGACGTTTGAAGAATTATAGAATACAATAATCACATTCAGATCAACCATAGCTGCGACAGAATTATGAATTTCAAAGTATTCTTCTGGAATTCGAAGTTTATGAACCAATCTAGTAGATTATGACATTCATTCGGAGCTGACTTTTTGACATACACATCAGTGTCAAATTGCTGTACTGTTTCCTCATTCGTTTCTTGATCTAGAGTGAGAAATCAGTACCTGTGTTTAGTTGGAATGACTAGCTCTTGATTTGCGGAGGCAAGGGCTCAGGTTGGTTCTTAATTCCCTATAGAATGGCTATTTATGATATGAGTGTTGAAAGTAAGGTTTTATTTTGCGAGTGAAAACGTTTCTGAAACGGGCGTAGTGAGTTGAGCAATTTCACGAACAAAATAAAACTTACTATTAACACAAATATCATACAAAGTTTTTTTGTACAACTATCGTCGATGGAAGCGGTAAAACAAAAAACGGCAAAGAAGACTTCCAGCACTGCTTCGATCAATGGAAAAAACGTATGGAAAGGTGTGTGGCGAGGGAAGTGGAGTATATTGAAGGGGATCATTCGAANAAGCAGCTGATATTGCTCTGGGTAGTCTGTTGAACATACCGAGTATGAAACTTGGCTGTTTGGTTTTGTATACAGTATACAGATATATCTATAGTTGTGATGGCTGTCTGTAGAATATGTGTTATCATATGAAAAGTTTCATTTCAACTCTTTCATTAGGTTAGGTTAGGTCCATTAGATCTAGGTCTAGGTCTATTAGACCCCCCACCGCAACCCGCGAGGGTTTATTGTGGCTAACACCTATTCACACTCGGAAAAATAAACCCAGCTTCTTAACGAAGCCGATTAGTTTGTCTGGTGAATGGTCTTTCAGGTCAGATGGTAAGAGTACCGCTCTGCCGAACTCTAAAAACCTGATTCGGTCCCCAGTGGGGCAGGCACAAAGTATATGCTCTGTTAATGAGGTAGTCGGATAGGCAAGTTGCAGTATTTCCACCTTAATACACACGACAACCTTCCCCAATGAGGGTTTTTGCACGTCAGCTACACCTGACGATGCCTTGTATTCAACCGTGGAGGGCTGTTTCGCCTCTGGTTTTGGTGAATCATCACTTGACCGCAAACGTTTGCTAACCTGCTCATAGGGGGGTTTGTTCCCCCACCTGAGACAGATTCTGCGTACGCTGCTCAAGAATTTGGTGCTGTAGACTCGCTCCTGATCTAAGTTTCCAGGGAGGTCAGTTGGGAGTCGTAAGCTCGACATCCATCTCCTCTATAGAGTCAGCGTCAGAAGAAATTTTTAAGTTTACTCTGTCCATAAAAGTCCCACGAGTAGCTAGGGAAAGAAGGTCAATCACGGCAGAGCCCCACATTACCGTGACACGGCGATACTACGACAAGAGGGCGCCCGGTATCTCGAAGGTTCCGTAGAGACAGCTGATAGGCCCAGTGTCATTCATCTTCTCAGCACGGATACACACACCTTAGGATTAAGCCATAGTTGGGATGCCATTCAGTTAGGGAATAACAGAACCACAAATGATTTTGTCGTGGGGCTATGTGGAAGCAGGCATCCGATGGCCGGTGTGCTCAACCCCCAAATCCCAAGCCAATGCACTCACCGAAAACAGCATGCACAGTGCTTCAGGCAGTGAAAGATGAACAAGGACAGCCAACCGGCCAACTCTTCCATTATGAAAATGTTCATATTTGAAATAGATATTCATTAAATAGCAAAAAAATACATTTTTCAACAGCATTCAGAGCTTTTCTGTTATCTATGCGGCAGTTCTGAAAGCTGTTTCGAATATAATTCCTAAAAACTTTTCCGGTTTTGCCGGAGTTAGAAAAAAGCAGATGTGGAATTTTCCAAGGTCATTTTACTTCAGTTCTGAAGGGATCCATGAAACAAATATTCAATATGATTTGCTCTTTCTATCGGATCTGTGAAAAGTCATTTTGTACATCAAAAGAGGATTAAATTGTGTGTTTTCATGCCACTTCGAGCATTTCTCTGATTTCAGGAATGAATCATATTTTTTGTGAAAAGTTTCTTTAGTTTTTGATATTGTCAATTCATCAACCCGAAAACTGTTACATGCATACGAAAATCCACTTTCAAGGAATATTTATAGTAGTTAACCTACTGTTTCAGGAAGGAAATGAAGTTCATCCGCCTCACATCTACCATCAGAGCCATATTAATGTCATGCGCCATTGTTCTCAACAGAGGAGCAGTCTTCTGGTGTATTCTAGTTTATGTACTGACGGGAAACTCTCTTAACTCCGCTTATGTTTTCACCATGATCTCGTTCTATCGACTTTTGAACACGATTACAATATTCTTCTCCCGAGCAATTTCACGAGTCTCAGAAATGTTTATCTCCTTCAGAAGAATCAAAACGTTCCTGATGTATGAGGAACTTGATTTCGGAACTGTCAATTTACCAAAAAGTATAACAAACGGGGTGAGCAAAGAAGGACATACTGCCGGAAGGACAGATGTGGGAATTCGGTTAAACAAAGCTTCTGCTAAGTGGTTGGAGTCTTTGCCAGAAAATAATTTGGAAGACATATCTTTGGATGTGACCAGCGGTGATCTAGTTGCTGTGGTGGGGTCTGTTGGAAGTGGCAAAACTACACTGCTCACCATGGTACTAGGCGAATTGGTAATTCAAGCTGGCACTGTCAAAGTGGAGGGAACTATATCCTATGCCTCTCAAGAGACTTGGTTGTTTGGAGGCAGTGTGAGGCAAAACATCCTCTTCGGACAGGAATTTGATCAGAGGAAATACGACGAAGTTATTAGAGTTTGTGCCTTAGAAAGAGACTTCAAACTCTTTTCCCATGGTGACAGAACTTTAGCTGGCGAAAGAGGTGTTACCCTGAGCGGAGGTCAAAGAGCTCGGATCAACCTAGCCAGAGCGGTATACAGAGAAGCAGACATCTACCTATTAGATGACCCATTATCAGCTGTGGATACACACGTTGGGAAGCAACTGTTCGATGAATGCATCTGTGAGTACCTGAAAGAAAAATGCGTTATTTTGGTAACTCACCAACTCCAGTACTTGAGAAATGTCAATAACATATATCTACTAGAATATGGAAAAGTTCTAGTATCAGGATCATATGAAGAAATCAGAGCCTCCGACACCAAGTTCTCCAGGATGTTGCTCAACTTGAAGGAAGAAGAGGAGGATATAAGGAGAAAGTCTATGATATTGGCGGGGAAACAAGAAGAGCCACTTTTAGATGACGATGACAAAATACAAATTTTACAGAGGGAGGAGAAAGGAGTGGGAGGAATTTCTTGGCATGTTTACAAGAGTTACATGAAAGCCGGTGGAAATATTCTGAAAGTGTTTCTGTTGTGTTCAGTTTTCTTACTGAGTCAGCTTTTGGAGAGTGGTGCGGAGTATTTTGTTACATTATGGTGAGTAGATAACTTCACAACTGCGGTACTTTTTAGCGATTGTATATGATGCGAGAACAAGGAGAGACTAGAACACGTTGATCTCATACAGTCACTAAAACATATTGCAAATTTTGTTAATGATTTTGATTGTGATAATCCATTCTAAGTAATATACAGTGCTTTCCATTCAAAACGAGCCACTCAGAATAACTTTTGGTACAATGATTTGCAGGAAAAATTAAAAAACACGTCAATCATAGTATACATATACATATATATAGGGGGTGCCCCTATCGCAGCCCCAGAGCATGTCACCAATTTTTGTCAAATGGATCAATTGTTTCGCATTATCAGATGTTCCATGATGAACAAATTAGAACAAAGTAGAATACATCATGGTCTGAAGCTCATAGGTTGGAAGCTTAAAATTATTTGAGTTGAAGACGAGCCACCCTGAATGAACTTTTGTACAATCTGTTACCTAGGTTTTATAGGTGTTTTTATGAAGTATACTTCAGAAAAGTCTCATTTGGCCTGGTTAAATTTTAATTCGAAATTCTCTTCATTTTGTATTCGTCTCATTCTACAATGATGTTTGCCTACCAGGTGAAGTTATAATTGGTGTTTATGTTTTTGTGAATTCTTGAGAAGCAATGATTTATACGCTTCGAGAACCGATTGAAATAGTGGGTTTGTACTACCAAAATTGAAATAGTGCTAGAGCTGCTGCCTGTATGTTCAATGACAATCATCCAGGAAGAAATGTACGACACAAATACGTTTCGGAATTATTGAACAAATTTATGGAAGCTGGATCTGTTATCAATGAAAACATAACCGTTCAGGAGTTGTCAACGATGAAGCTATTTGTACTGCAGTTTTAGGGCACGTTGGACTAATGGAAAATTCGCAATCTTTTACTGAGTAGTCTCGAGAATCTCAATGGTTGGTCGGTAGCACGGCGGTTCGATGTGGGTGCTTTGTTTACTCAGTCAATCGGCCGATGTGTGAGTCGATGGTTCAAGCCCCAGGCTGAACACTCAATTTTCACTTCCTATCTTCCAAGTCGTGTTAGGAATTACACGTTAAAAGGTAAGACCTCGTTTGTCCTTAGCACAAGTTTTGATTTCTGAGAGTTGTCGTTCGTAAGGGTGCGATAGCTGATTAACGGAAAAACATATTTTCAACATAATATATTTTTCTAAACAAATGTTTTCAGGATCATTCATAAGTACAAATTTCATCCATATAAGATTATACTATTTCATGAATTGAACGAAGATGATTTCGATAGACGTATCAAGTTTTGTGAAAGTCTCACTGAACGCATCAGAATTTCTTGTATAAAATTTGTTTGGATGAATGTACGTTTAGTTTGAATGGAGAGGTGAATTGGCAAAATTGTCGATATTGGAGAGATACGAATTTTCATTTATACCGTTAAGTTCATACTCAACGACCTCAAAAACTGAATGTTTTGGCAGGAATTTTAGGTGACCACATCATAGGACCTTTTTTTATCGATGATAATTTGACTAGTGATGAATATTTACATATGTTGGAGAATCGAATAATACTGTGCATCAATAGGGTAATTGAGGAGGATGTAAATTTATTCGAAAACGAAATAGTTTTTCAGTAGGATGGTGAACATCCTACATCCAATTCCTAGATGATCATTTTCCTGGTCGCTGGATTGGCAGAAGGGGTCCTACAGAATGGCCACCAAGGTCTCTGGATCTCACTCCTGTAGATTCCTTTCTATGGGATCATTTGAAGTCCGAAGTGTAGGAGATAGAATCAACAATATTAGAAGATTTCAGAGAGAATATCATGAAGCACTGCAGAGAAATAACTTCCGAGATTCTCAACCATTGCATTGTATGGAAGTTGATGGACACGTTTTTGAACATTTACTATAGAACATTTTTTCTTCTCGTTGTCCAGTCATCAGATTTTGATTCAAGAGTCAATAAAAAATATTTTTTTCTGATTTATTGCTTCCGTATTCGTGTCTAGAACGAATATTTCAAAATGTGGCCTCCTGTATAATTATTGAATCATTGTTTCAAAAGTTATTCAGGTTGGCTCGTTTTCAACTCAAATAATTTGTAGCTCCCGAACCATAAGCTTCAGACTATATGTTTGTTGAAATCTGCTCATCTTGGAGCATCTGATAATGCGAAACAATATAGGGTGATCCATTAAAAAAAATTGGTGACATGCTCTGGAGTTGCCATAGGGGAAGTAACATCAAATGTGAATATGTCAAAATGTGTCGCCCTGTATACTATTGTTGTTGTTTTCTTCTATTTTTCCCGAGAATCATTGTACCAAAAGTTATTGGGGGTGGCTCGTTTTAAAGGGAATGCACTGTATTTTCATTCAAGTATTTTATGAGAATTATATCTTTAACATCTTCATTATTGACTTTTGTGGGGATTTTCATCGTCCCAGATCTGAAAAAAATCAAAATTGTAATGGAGAACCTTACACCATTCATCAATTCACCTCAATAAATTATTGGGTGAGTTAGCGAAACATTTCTGGAAATGAAAAATGTTTGTAAAAATTGTTTATTTATTATCATGGATAGGAACTTGGAGTGTCAAATGTTTCGTTTGCGGTAGACATCATCAGTAGTATATGCGTAGGCTGTGAGCCTGAAGGTTATATTTCGAAGTATCAGCAATGTCTTTCATCGAATAAAATGATACTTGCACATACATGAAATTGAACGATTTCAATTATGCTCCAAATTTTCTGGATGGAATTTATGATTTTTTCTAATGAGCAACATAACTGAAGTTAATATTACTGGAGTTTTTTCCCAACACCAAATCGTTATTTTTACACCTCGACACGTGTTTCGATCACCAAGTGGTCATCTTCAAGAGGAAGATAAAACTGTTTTATAACGTTTATAACGATTTGGTGTTGGGAAAAAACTCCAGTAATATTCATTACTACACCAAAGCTTCCAAACAGTATATCACAAGTAAAAAATAACTGAAGTTATTTCTCTATTTAAATGACTTGAAATCCAAATATCGTTCTTATGAACTGAATGTTCATATATGATCAATATTTTTCAAAACACATTTGCATGAATATAATTATTATTTTCAGGGTCAACACCCTTCAGTGGCTCTCTCACAGAAATACCACGAATAACGAAGTCAAATTAATAGAATTTCGAAATATCACCGGAGAAACTACAAATCCATTAGATTCCTACGAAGACTGGTGGCTCACTCCCGTTTTTACGTCAGACAATACCATCATTTACTACTCAGTTTTGATTATTTTGTTGGTTGTAGTAGTATTTACGAGATCTATATCATTTTATAGATGGTGTATAACTGCTTCTACGAGATTGCACAACCAGATGTTCGATAACATTGTTTATAGTCCCATGAGATTTTTCACCATGAATCCGTCTGGTAGAATCCTCAACAGATTCTCCAAAGATATTGGTACCCTGGATGAAATATTGCCCATGACACTTTTGGATACCATTCAGGTGAGCTCAACATTCAAAAGATTATATAACAAAAATAATAATGATATTATATATTTCATCAGTTCGGACTTCCATTGTCTAATATAATATAAATTGATTTGGAATCCCTGAAAAAAAATTAAAAAGATTAACCAAAAATAACAATTTTATTAAACAAAAAACTGAAATTACAAAAAAATAACATAAAAGGAACAACCAAACGAATAAAAAATTGAAATAATGATAAGAGCTGAAGATTAAAAAAAATTAAAAATATTAGTAACAAAAAATGAAAAATAAAAATTAAAAAATTTCAAACCAAGTTATGTCACGACGTTTCGATTATTAAAATCCATAATCGTCTTCGGGTGATAATGATATTATATTTTTAATTTTATGGTAAAAAGTACAAAGTTAGAGCTATAATATTTCTTTATTAAGTTACAGTGACAATGAAATCGTCCAGGGGTAGAAACATAAAATTATTTTAGCGAGAGTAACACATATATTTCAAATGCCCGAATATACAGTGTGACCAACTTGAAAGCGGGATACCTACCTGAAATTTGCATCTTTTCTCCGATTTCGAAGAACTTTATTTTGAATTGAAGAGTTCGAAAAACTGTACTTTGGGACCAAAAATCATTTTCTTTTTATAAAAAGCAACCCCTGCTGCGATTATTTCTATAGGTTTAAATACATGAAATCGTATGAGCGATTTTTTCAGAAGTAGTCTCGTTCCATAATTCAAGGCACTGGTCTGCGGATAATTCTAATTGGGTTATAAATGCAGAAAGGCAATATTTTCATAAAATGAAGGTGTGGTGTAGAATAATCCATGGTAAGATTATCGGTCCTTTTTTCCTTAGTCTTATTGCCAAATAACTCATTTGGGGTGGCCGTTATAATTGAAATGCAATGTTGATCACTAATCAATCAAAGAATTGATTTGGTAGAAACTAAAATATCTCCACGAAAAAAAATTAATACATTTCTCATCAATTATTTGATTTACTATCTGGATTCTGAATGATCTTTCTCTTATTCTGTTCAATATTTTTCCAGATTGTGGTATCTGTAGCTGGCATATGCTTGGTGATTGGCTCCCTCAGTGTGTGGATTATGGTACCAACTGCTCTGATTGGCATTTTATTCTACTTTTTGAGGGTTATATTTCTGAGAACGAGTAGAGACGTCAAAAGAGTAGAATCAGTTAGTGAGTTATTCAAATTTTATACCTGGATTCAAAACCATATGTGTGCATCGGTGATCATTGAAAAAAATTTTTTTGAGATTTGGTACACTTCTCTGGTGACTTGTTTCAACTAATAACTAACGAAAATCAGAATATACGCTCAAAACATTATTAATCAAGAATCATATCTGTCTCTTATATGTGCAGAGTCAGTTCATTTAGCAATGTTCAACTCACTTGACGATGGTCTTATTATAATTCTAAAGAGAGAAAGGTTTGAAGAATTATAGAACACAATAATCACATTCAGATCAACCATAGCTGCGACAGAATTATAAATTTCAAAGTATTCTTTTAGAATTGGAAATTTATGAACCAATCCAGTAGAATATGATATTCATACTGAGCTGACTTTTCAACATGGACATCAGTGTCAAATTGCTGTACTGTTTCCTTAATCGTTTCTTGATCTAGAGTGAGAAATCAGTACCTGTACTCAGTTGGAATGAATATGACATTCATACTGAGCTGACTTTTCAACATAGACATCAGTGTCAAATTGCTGTACTGTTTCCTTAATCGTTTCTTGATCTAGAGTGAGAAATCAGTACCTGTACTCAGTTGGAATGAATAGCTCTTGATTTGCGGAGTCAATGGCTCAGGTAGGTTCTTAATTTCCTATAGAATAGCTATTTATGATAAGGGTCTTGGAAGTAAGGTTTTATTTTGCGAGTGAAAACGTTTCTGAAACGAGCGTAGCGAGTTGAGCAATTTCACGAGCAAAATAAACTATTAACACAAATATCATACAAAGTTTTTTTGTACAACTATCCCGTTTTGATGATAAAACTATTTTAACTATTTTCATGTTATCGCATTTGCTGTGAAGTGGCCGTGTCAGGTGACGCCGAATTATCTGGCTACCAACAAACAGTATTGTTTAGAGCTCACGTGTTTCATTTAAAGTCACATTTAAAGTTCTTGCTGGCGTTTAATGTCTTGCATAATGAAGAACAATAGTGAGGAATTGTGTTCCTGACGATATTGAAGAGGCTGCAAAAAGAGCTTCAATTGAATTGTTACCAAAAAATCGGCTCAGCACTACGACATCGCATATTCCACTTTTCTTAGCTGGTGTAGACTTAAAAACGTCGAAGGAAATTTCAGCGAAACCGTCTTCTCAGCCTATTTAGAAGAGAAATAAAAAATGGAACTCGTCCAGATGTTTAATAATGAGGCGCCAGATAAAAAATATTTGATGATAAAAGTTGCTACTATTTTCGGAATATATGCAGCTCTGCCGGCGCCGGCGTGAAGAGCTGTGCCATTTATTGATAGAAGACGTTAAATCAATGGATGAATCATTGATTGTTCAAATTCCAAATACAAAAACGAGAATAAGACGTTCTTTTTGCATTGTTGAAAAAAACATTGACTATTTCAATAAATACGTTGCATTACGCCCTTCTGTTATCAATTATCATCGTTTTTTTCTAAAATACTCAAATTATAAATGCAGTGCCAACCCAGTTGGTATAAACACGTTTGGAAAAATACCCTCTACCATTGCTGAATTTCTGAACCTCCCGAAACCAAAGGAATATACAGGTCACTGTTTCAGAAGTTCTTCTGCTTCTTGCTAGTAGAATCAGGAGCAAATATAACGGATATTGAGAAGAACGGAGGATGGAAGTCTACAACAGTGGCTGTTGTAGACTTCCATTGCTGAAAAAATAATCCCAACAGCTAGCTCCAGTGTTACAGCATCGTCCTCTTCACTTCAAGAATCAAATGTTAATGCCCATGAGTGAAAATTGGAAATGAAATAAATAGCGAACTGACTGTACAAATTGGTATACCATAAGGGACCGTTTTGGGACCGATACTTTTTCATATTCACATTAACAGTATAATGAAAATCAACAATTTCATAGGCGATATAATATGCTATGTCGATGATACTGCTCTAATTTACACGGGAACATCTTGGCATGAACTAAGAGAGACAGTAGATACAAATTTCCAAAAAATATACATGTGGCTAAATAGTACTAAACTGTCACTGAATGTAAACAAGACAAAGTATCTGATCTTTTCCCCCACCCTTCGTGATCAACCCAAAAACTACAAAATAAAAATGCATATACCGCACTGTAATAATCAAAATACGATGCGATTGTCAGTCCATAGTACAAACCACATCTGTAGGTTATTTTAGATCAGCACCTAAAATGGAAGGAACATATCAACTTTGTAACGAAAAGGCTCCGAGTATTGATGCACAATTTTTATGAACTACGTGACAAACTGTCGAAAAAAATCTTATAATACTCTATACCTCTCTTGTCGAATCTATAATAAAACATTGTATTCCTGCTTGGAGTGCAACTTACATTTGTATCTATATCTATTGATCATAATAGAACTTCCTTGAAAATTGAATAATTATGTTTTGTTTATTGCTATTTGGTCAAAAAAATTTGTGTCAAAAATACTTTCACAACAATAGTGTTAAAAATATTTTCAACACGCTACTTTGTAAACATCATGTTTTAATACTCTTGACAACCATTAAAAATGTCACTTTCAATGACAGTGGTACAAAAATTCAATTATAAGTGCTGAAAGGGGTTACCAAATTGAAAGCTCTTATTCGGACGCCACCCATATAATTTATATCCTTTTTCAACACTTGTCACTGTGGAACAACTGGGATAGGAGACACTTCAAGCATATCAATAAAACAAGGGATACGGTTCAATAGGATTTTGTATCCCTAACCTTGAGATGAATGAATTAACTAAAAACCAAATAATCAATTTCGAATAGTGCTCACTGTTTGAAGAAGGCAGACTGTCAATGTTCTGAAATTCTTTCCTCTTTCCAAGAATTGCTTCAACAGAAAAATCAACAAAATACAGGGTCTTACCCTAGGGTTTGATGAACTAAACCTCACAATTTCTGATCGAAATAATTTTTCCAGAAAACCTTAAGGAAACACGAGGGTTTTGTTTCACACTGCTTCAACTAGACTTCTCTGATTCTTGAGATTCGGGACACTCCAGCAGTCCTCAGACATGTCCAAAACGATCTCCTCGTTGTGTCCAATTTGGACAATTCATTCCTGTTTTCATGCATTCACCCGTTTTTATGCGTTTAGTGGTTCTTATATTTCTATGCTGGTATGTTTTTCATGATTTTGTGATTTTATGAATCCATGATTTTGGCGGGCAGAACTGTAATACAAAAAAAACTGTTGTGGAAAAAACCTAATGTATTTACAGACCCTTCCAAAATTCCATACTATACAAATAGAATCGGTACCGGTTCGAAGTTCCGACAATGCTACCACCTGTCCCGTCAGTTCCTCTGAACATATACATGCAGCCCACCGATTGTAAGTATGACATTATTGAAAGTAGGTATCTCTGACTTTACCTTACTTCTCACTTTACTTTATTTACTATGAAAAATTAGTCTACGACTGAACAAAAGAAGGAAAGGTCAATTTGTATACTCAACCGAAACATGAATAAAAATTATCGGCATTCTGATTATAATTTATTTTGAGTACTACTGTAGGCTGTTCAGAAGAATCTCAGATCTGTGATAAAAAAAGTTGGAATTTCAGTAATCGGTATGTTACAATCTACAATTCAAAATTAGCAAAAAAGGGTTTCTTTCCATCCAGATTGTCTCGTAAACAGTATAAAATGAACAGTGAAAGTGAAAAAAGGAAATGTTACAGTGTATGATTTTTTTGCAAGGATCTCTGGTATCTCGTATCTGTAGAGTAGGGAGGCTGAGTGTAAACACACAGCACTTAGGCCACATGTGACCCATTGTACATCCTCCCGAGGAGTCGCCTCCTAGGTCATCGTCCATCCTGTCCTATCCAGGAAGGTGAACAGGTCACTAGAAGAAATCTCCTTTATATTGGCAGGTGTAGGCCAAGACTCGCCAAATACACACTCTCTTTGGCAACCATGAGGTGTCTCACGGTGGCCTACCCGAAGGTTTTGGAAGGTGCAGCGATATTACTGTCGTTGCGCGGCTTCTTCAACCGTCTTGGGGTTCCCTCCGTGCACACGTGAGGGAGCTTTCCTGCAGGGGCAGCCGGTTCCTTGCCTTTATTTAACGCGCTTTATTCCAAGCGGTAGATTGGGGTGGACATTTCTGTTCATCCCCAGCCACCACCTTAGATTGAGGATAGCACTTCTGTCCAGCTTTGGGATTGGTTTTTGTTTTTGTTATTTCTGTTGCTACATTCATGTGTGTTCCCACGAGTAGCAAGGGACATCTGACAGAGCCCCGCATTACTAGAGGTAGGCTGATTACAATGAGGTTTAGCGCAGTTCTCCTGCGGCCATTCAGCTGTCGGTACGATTCCTTACACCTTAGCTTGGGTAGGCTGGTCCACGATGACATATTTTGCAAAGGCTCTTGGGGGGTTTTAGTTCCCCTCACCCTACTTATTTCTGCTACTGACCAGGAGTCCGGTGACCCCGTCCGTAAGGCCACATTGGCCTTACGGACGTGGTTTGGGCTACATATCGCGCTCGATAGGTAGCCCAACCCACGGGTTTGCAAGGATATAGGAACCAATGAGATTTGTTTACTACTATTCTTCTGGAGTTGTTGAAACCTAATGGCATCACATGGCTGGAAGATACGAGGTCCGGCTATTAAATAACGAGATTGAGCGCCTAGAGGGCACCCTAGAGGGGTGGGGGAAAAACTAGTAGTGTGTTGAGTATCAGGAAGTCTTCTCTATCCCCGTACCAAAATCAATCAAATTGTGCGTGCAGATTGCCGAATGAAAATCCGGATGATTGCCTAAGCTGTAAACGCCAATAAAGAAAATTTCACACGAGGAATTACACATGACAAAAGTCTGTGGAAGTTGGGGCTAAAAAACCTAATACCTGACTTGCTCTTGCGTCAACAGGTCTGTTCAGATTTCTTTGAAAGGTAAGAAGAAGTTCCCGGACTGATGAAAAACAGCATTACTTGCGAC